GAATTGTATATGCGAGCATAAAATACGTGTATTTGTTTTTTTCTTTTCTTAAATTCGAAGATCATCTATATGTTTGTTTAGTCGATAGTACATACTTTTACCTGTCTTTTTTTCTTACTAATTGTCAATTTTTTTTGCAGTTAGTTGATTTTTCAGTGGAAACATATTAATATTTAAAGTTTTCGTTGCATATATTTTTTTGCCTTTTTTTTGTCATCTAAAGTCTATTTATTGAAACCAATGTAGACTATGTTTTTAATTTATTTAAAATTAATTTTTAAAGTAATGTAAAATATTTTTTAAAATTCGTAGAACTAAAAATATATATAAAAAATCAGGTTAAAAATATTTTGGTAACTAATATCACTAATTTTGAATTATACATGTATATCGAAAATATATTTTTCATACAAAATTAAAACATAAAAAATTAAAAATTATTGCATACACTATAATGTGGTTTGAAAAACCAGTTGTACACTCCCTTTGTTGATTAAATTTTAGAGAACTATAATGTTAAATAATACTTTTAATACATCTTAAACTTATAACAAATATTTATATTATACGGTAATATGAACGGAAAAATTAGAATTATGTTTTTATAATAGTTCATTTTGAATTAATATTAGTGGACGAGTTAAAATTATATTTTTATAATCATAATTAATTTTAATACTATAAAAATATATCTAAACACAAAAATCAATATTTTCGCTTATTAAAAAATATATTTATAAAAATAATTATATCTAAACTCAAAAACACAAATTATATTACAAAATTGGTTAAACAATAAAAAATATTTTTGTGCGGATGCACGGAGTTAGAAACTAGTTAGATATTAAAAAAAAAACTATTACAAGAATAAATTTTTAGTTGACAATTTATGTTCTACAAGAATCCAAGCAGACTGCAAACACAGCACTACACTGGAAATTTCTTTACAAAGTTGTCTTCACTAATAACCTGTAGAAATCACATCTATTAGGAATTGAAACTCAGAACTTCTGTCATAAAAACTGACCCGAAAATAGTTGGTTCAGTTCGGATTCAGATTTGTCAAAATACCCAAGTGGTTATACCCGAGTGGTTATTGATGCCTAATAACTTCAGATTTCGATTTGGTTCAGAAAATAACTGATACCCAAAGTAATAAACGAACACACCAAACACATGTTTGTGTTCATAACATCGCTAATATGTCGAACAAATCAAGGCAGTCTCTTGAGCTTCCCAGGCGTTGTGTTTCCTCTTTTCCAATCGAAATTCAGGCATTAACCCTAATTTCAATCTGAAATCAGTAACCAAACATCTCCCTTTCTCTCTGACTTCTAAAGCATCGAGAATTCGATCTCAGGTATCCTCTTAGTTGTTCCTTCTCCCTCTATTTTGACTTTACTGTTCTTCGACTTTCAGTAAAAATTAGAACTTTGTATTTTTTATTAGAACTTGTAATCTATTTTTGATTATTCTTGTTGTTAAATTTATGTTTGGTGGCTGCTTTCAATGGTCTTGTATTAAATTTTATCTCTTATAATTCTTGTTCAATTTTTTATTTTTTTTTTCTGTTCTTCCTTGTTTTCATCTCTTGCACGTTCGATTTTTTTTTTTTTTTCATATCTTAGTCTTTGCTCTCTTATGTATTCTCTTACACTTTAACTTCTTTGTTAGCTTCTCATATAGTTCTTTTCTTGGTTACGCAGATAAATTCATCATCTGAACCAATACTGGAAAACACTAACACAGAGAACACTCATGGTTTTCATGAAGAATATCTAGAAGAAGAGATTAGGACTACTGCTAATCGTGGTAAAACAAAGGACATACATGAAGATACTAGTTCTCAGCCACCAAAGCCAAGGAAGTTACTTGATACAAGGTCTCAAGTTTGGAATCATTTCACAAAACAAAAAAAAAACCATGAGAAATGCAAGTGCAACTACTGTCAGAAGTTCGTTTCATGTCCAACAACATCTGGGACTTCCAATCTCAAAAACCATCTAGCAATATGCAAATATTTCAAAGCATGGAGAGATTGTCAGAGTCAGAGCCAAGGTAAGAGTCAGTCTGTATTGAATCACAGTGGTAATCTGGATTGTGAAAGTGTCTGAGGAAGTATTCAAGACTGCTACGGATAAGATGCTTGTTATTGGGGAGTTGCATCTTTCTTTTGTTGAAAGCATGGCTTGGAAATACTTCTGCAAGCAGGTGAACCTCTGCAAGACTCATTCTAGAAGAACAGCAACAAGAAACATTATTGAGATGTATGTGGGTAGGAAAAGATCTCCCACAGCTGTTGATAGCTAACAAGCAACGAGTTTCTCTTACAACAGATATATGGGTTCCTCAGCCTACATGTATTGCGTTTTTTTTGTTTTAAATGTTACCTTTATAACTTGATTATCATCCCTCAGTTTACTACCTTTTCATTTTGTTATTGAACAAGTTTGAGTTATATGGTGATTACAGTTCACTTCATTGATATGTTTTGGAGGTTAAAGAAGTTTATCATCGGGTTTAGGCACATTATCGATCACAAAGGTCTGACAATGTCAACTATTCTGTTAGATTGCTTAGCTGAATGGGGTTTAGAGAAGGTATTTTGCACCACTCTTGACATTGCTACGGCTAATACTTCTGCTCTTAGGAAGTTTCAGACAGAATTTTCTTTGGTAAATCGTGAGGCATTTGTTTTGGGTGGTGATTTTATGCATGTTAGATACTGTGCTCACATCATTAACCTGATTGTGAAAGATGGTTTAGCTGACATAGATTCTAGTGTTACTGCAATTCGTAATGTTATCTCATACGTTAGATCAAATTCAACTAGGCTGAGTTCTTTTGAAATGAGAGTTGACTCGGGTAAGTTTGCCATTGGATATCAAACTCGATGGAACTCAACTTACACTATGTTGTTTAAGGCAAAGAAATACAAATTAGCATTCGACAAGATGGAGAAAGAAGTCAAGTTATAAATTGACTACTTCAACAAGTTAGAGAATGGGAAATCAAGGGTCGGACCTCCTTCAAGTGGTTGGGATGTGATTAAGAAGTTAGTCTGTTTCTTAGTCCTCTTCTATGGCTCCAATTTGATTGTTCCGGCTTCTTCAACTCTGAATTCATTTAAATGCTATGAGGAGATAGTGACTATTGAGAAAAATTTGATGAAAATCAGAAGTAATGTAGACAGAGCTGAAAGAGAAGGCCGATGTGATGTTCAAGAAGTTTTGCAAGTATATGTACGAGATGAAGGGATTAAACAATATGCTTATAGTAGCTTTAGTCTTTGATCCTAGGGAAAAAATGGGGTTTGCTACTGTGTTTTGCAAGACTGTATGGGGAAGACTGTTTCGATGCAAAAGGATCTGACAGTCAGTCCTTATTGTGCTGCATGCAATGTTTGATGAATACAGTGATAGATACCAATAAGGGCCAAACACATAATCTTACAGTCTAATCAGACAATCATCATGGCAATCACATGAAAGAGTGGAAGTGGTGGAAGATGATTTGGGTTTAGGGTATGAAAGGGTGGATTCGATATACAAGGAGATGGTTGCTGAAACTAGAGTGCAAAGATACACAAGATGAATTAAACAGATATCTGAAGGAGAGTGTTGAGGATTCAAACACCATGCCTGGAGTAGAGTATAACGTGCTAGACTGGTGGAGGCACAACACTTTTAAGTTGCCTATGCTATCCGAAATGGCAAAAGATGTTCTTGCAATGCAAGTGTTTTCTGTTACATCTGAAAGTGCTTTTAGCACTAGTGGTCGGATCGTACCTCCAGCTAGGAGCTCTCACTATATGGTTGAGGTTTTGATGTGTATATAGCAGTGGATGAAGAAAGACATTCAGATTACTGGTAAAAGAAGCATGGTTACAAAGGAGCAAATGATCTCTGAATTTGAATATGAAGACAAGCTTAAGACAGACAATATTCTCATTTAGTAAGCTCTTCTTATATCAGTTTAGATGTTCTAACTTTTATATTTTCTTAATTACATGTATAGATTATGATAATCCACCAACACTATAGAAATGAATCTCAGCCTCTCAAGCACTTTAAGACTCAGGTTGATGTAAGTAATATCTCAAGATTTGTTTGCTCTAAATCTCTGTCATTTGGTTTGTCTTTTAATGCATTCGTTATTGGTTTTATCAGAACAGAAGCATGGTAGACTCGATTTCAAGCTTTGACTTTGGAGTTATGGAATTCATTTGGTTCTTCTCCTTATTACTCTTTTCACACTGCATTTTTCTTTTGAACGTAGAAGTTTGAAGGTTGAACAATCTTATGTATTATTGATCTTTTATTTCTCTTCTGAGCTAGTTTTCGACTGGATTAATGTTGATGTTGTTTTTTTACTATCAGGTTAACATTTGTTGCAAGTTTCATTTGTCGATTGTAGTATTACAAAGAAAATATGTCCTTGGATTTTTGGTTTTTTTTGGGTATTTTAAATGTTTTGGTTGTATTCGGTTGACATATAACCAAAAAAATCTGAATCCAAATTTTTTTTGGTTAAAAACCAGATATTGATTTCAATACCAAACCCGACTAAAAGTGATCCAAACCGATCCGAAATTTACAAAATATCTGAATGGATATTTAATCCTAAACCCGATAAACCGAACATCTGAATCGGGTATCCGAATGCCTAGGGCTACTCTATACTAAGAAAATGAGTATTCTTTTTTTTTAGAAAGGTTTTTGTTACTAACAAAACAAGTATCACTACAAAAAAAAAAGGCTTTTAACGTCGTTTGATTTATTACTTAACGTCGGTATTTAACTGAAGCCAAAGTAATAGCGTCGGTTTCTAAAGGGACGTAACAACGCCTGACGCCAAATTATTTTGCTTCGGATAAATAAGTGACGTCAAATTTAACATCAAAATTATAACGTCGTTTCTTTTGTAGTATTAAGCATCGGTTATAAAACCGACGCAACTATGCAAAACTTTTTATATTCATATTAATTAATTATTAAATGTACAAAAATTTGTAAAAATGTGATTCCACTAGGATTTACAAAACATGATTCCAAATAATCAAATTATTGATTATAAATTAAATAATTAATATGTTATTACTTATTACACAGAAAGCAACTCTGTTTTCTATCTTATGCACAACACACAATATTGCCTACATATTTGTAGTACTCTTCAAAAAAAGCTCCCGTCTTTGTAACAACCCTGAAATCAGATAAAAATTACAGAACTATTTAGTTTTAGAATAATAGAATATCACATTATACATATATATCACTACATGTATTTATACATACACATCTACTACAGTTATTTTGAACGGAACAAACATACGACGAATGCTTGATGCTCTGCTTGAAAGATTATGATTCAATTAGGTAAGAATCTCCTATAAATTGTAATTAATCAATGTGAAATAGAAAGCTGACACAAACAAGTACTGTACTCAAACGTATAATTTGTATTCGAGAATTGAACTCTCAAGAATCATAATAACTACATTTAATCAAGTCCTATAGTAAGGAATGTCTCTAGCAATATATAAGGCACTAGAAGATCATTCCAGTCTATATTACGCCTTAATAAACAATTAAACTACTCAAACGAACAGAGAACTAACCTCATGTACTCTGGTTCCCTCTTCGATTAACCTCGATCCCGTCTCATGTAAGATGCAATAAGAAGCTCTCCTTAGACTTGGTTGAAGCATGTCTCGTCTTGCTGCGACATAAAATATTCTACAAGGTTAAAGTAGAATGAAACAAGTAACATTTCCAGTAGAACAATCGTTCCTTTCCAATGTTCATCACATGCTTAGATACAGAACAAAATACAGAGATCACCCTCAATCTTTTAAGACAAGCTAGTTGTAGGATCAACATAAGGAATCATATAAATGTCGTCTTTCCTCTTGCATCTCTGCAAATATCACATAGTTTGATTTGTATTATAATTTGAGCACCAATCAAAAAAACAAAATATGTAATGTTCACATATGATCATCGTGCTTACGCTGTATATTCTGTAAACATATGATCATAAGATATAGTAAACATATGATCATCGTGCTTACGCTGTATATTCTGTGAAGTTATTTTATCAAAAAATTAGCTTTACAGTTTAATTAGGTCAGAACTGCATAATCTACCATTTCATTCCCAAACTCCCATTTCACATGCATAACAGATTCCATCTGAAAGTTCATCGTCAAAACAAGGAAAATGATTTGACTAAGTAGCAAATTAGAGACCAAATATCGAGTGACACCACAAGTTCTTCCAAAATTAAAAGAGATCAAAGCAATCAAAATCTGATTAGAAATTACCTTCGAATCGAGCTAAAATTTCTGAAATTGGAGATTCCTCACCGAAGACTCTATCCAAAAACCCTACCAAACAATTTCTACGAATCCATCATAACATCAAATCAAATCTAAATTATTTATAAAACCAAGTTATTGAATCAGAGAGACAACATAATGATCGATTATTTCTTCGTTCTGGAGCCGATTTACGAGTATCACGAGATAGAAAAGAAAAACTACAGAATCGAATCGAAATTTGATTTCCCGGATATGAATTCCGATAGAGAATGATGAAAGATTCAAAGTAATCAGAGACGAGAGATAATGAAAAACTCTATGGTCGATTCAAGTGGAGTTCTCTGAATTTTCCAGATAATGAAAGTATCGTGTGGGTGTCCCGAAAAGCGACAAATTAATTTACTTTAAAAACCGATATCAATTACGTCGCTTATTAAACCGACGCTAAACCGCTTCTTACTTCTAATTTTAAAGTCGGTTTATCAAACGACGTTAGAAATGTGACGTCTTCTAACGAATCTCTTGTAGTGTATCTTAGTTTTGAATAAATAGTGCTACATTTGACAAATGCTCCACTCTATAACTACCAAAATGAATTTTGGTTAAAGCTTGTGAGAGTCATGTGAAATTTTTTCCTGTTCATTTTAGTTTTGGCAGGTGGGAGATCGAGGGCATTTGATGTCCATTAGTGAATGCTACTGATCGCTTTTCGATGTAACATTAAATCAGACTTTGTGTGATTTTTCCCTTTGCTTCGAATCTTTCTAAGATCATTCACTCGTTTGTTTCCATCATCAGTCTTATGAATCGTGTAGTTTCCACCTGAATCATATACTCTATTATATTCTCTTCATATGAATACGTAAGGGTGTCAAATTAAGGTCAAATAACCTAAGCACAGGGCTAGGAGATGTGATATGATAATGAAGAGCAGAAAGAAAGATCAAGAGGGGGTCATGCTCGTGCCAATTGGACCAGCTTCAATATCACAATTTAAAGAGTCATTCAACTATTAGTTAATGTTTGTCTTTAATTTTAGTCTAAACTGTTAATTCCAAGATTGCTTAGTTTTCTACACATTTCTACTCTATGTAATCATATAATCTCTAAGAGAAATAATCAGAAATTTTTTTTTTGAGAGTGATTCTCACAATTATTTTCCTTGTGAATATTTTTGATCATTTGGAAGTTATCTTTTGATCAGTCCGCGGTGACTCATATTTGTGGTTTAATTGTCTCAACAATCACAACTCGATCTGTTTGATGAGTCATATCCAAACGATCACAAATTTGGATTGTCTTGGTGTGTCCATATCCAAAGAGTCATTTAGGTAAATCAGGAGACTTTTCGCAGCTACCTGTGTGACCATTCATTCCAGACCCCTTGTTCATTGTGTCTCATGATCCATTGAAGCAAGGCTTATTGTAGTACCCTAACCCAGATTTTTATTTTTAACTAATACTTAGTCAAATTTTTGGTCCGGATTTTACTTAACATTTTCTTTAGCTTTTTGCATTTGGTTCATTCAGACAAGACTTAGCCGTACATAAGCAGATTAAAGCAGAAATACATTAAATCGAGGTTCTCAATATAATGATTGTTCGCATATAAGCTATTATATCAACTAGACCTTAACTACCCAGATCTTACCATCCATTCCTTCCCAGCCTTAGTCCACGCGCGCTGATCCGACATTATCTTTACCTGCATCCATAAAAGGAGGCATAAGCAAACAGAACTGCTTAGTGAGAGCGGTCATGTCATCTCACCGAGCCAAAGTATAATCGCATCAAACAAAGATCGAGGCCAATGCTCATCAGAAACAGAAAACTACCCGTGCATGACCATTCACGCTTATCTGGCCGATCATCCCGCAACCAGACAAGCCTCGGCGAGCATCACAGCCGCGAGCGCCTTATCTGATCTAGATCGCCGATAAGGTGGATCGATCATCACGGTATAGCCAGAAGAAATGTGATGACAAGCACAGAAATAACACGCAACCGGCTAGAATCTAAGCAAGAATACGACCAACTAGGCCACGGTCACACACTCACCTTAGAGTTTCTCTGACAGATTCGAATAGGACAGAATTCTCTATCGCTCAGACTCGTTCCCACGATCGCTCGGCTGATCCGGATCACACTTGACATAATCATAGTCGCTCTCGGCTAGAATCTGATATCTCTCGGCTAAACAGACTTTCTCTTGACTAATTTCTCTTAAAGCGGTTCTCTCGATCTTTCTGAGTTCTTTGGTCGCGGGAAGAATAAAAAATGAGCCAGAAGCTTTTAATATATAGGTCCTCACTTGATTTTCCACAGAAAACCGCCTAGAAACCGTTTCCGCGCCACTCTGCACACTTTCTCGGCTAATAACCACTCCCACGAGTCTTTCTGCCCGACTAATAACCGTTTCCATGCTATCGCTTACTCGGCCATATCCATAACCATTCCTGCACTTTTGCCTTAGCGCTTTCACCCGATAACCGCTCCTGTGTACTCCCGACCCCGAGAAAGGCTGTCTGCTCTCGACTAACCTTGTCCGAATCCCGACCAAGTCCCGAAAAACTCGGCTTGTCGGAATATCTAGCTAAACTTCCGGAAAATCCCGGCCAGCTGATTTTAGCTCGGCAAAACTTGATTGAGCTTGGCAAAAGCTAGACTTAGCTTGGAATCACCCGACTAAACCCAATTTTCTCCGGCTAAACCCATTTCCGACTTTCCTCAGTTAACCCCCTGGTTTTTCCCCATTTCTGCTCTGCATAACTCATAACTACCTTAACCAAACTTCCCACTGGTAAGGTTTTCCCAAACACAGGTGTTACATTTATCCCCTTTACCAACTTTAGAGTGCTGATTTTTGGGAGGATCATAGATGGGTTATGGTTTTCCAGAAATTGAATGGTAACTAACAAAAATACTTTAATATTTACTTTGAACTACTCAAATGGAAAAGACAACAACATATATATTAATTACGTAGTTGAATTAATTATTGCGTAAAATAACATCGAGTCTTTAAAATTTACAAGAAACAACATACACAAGTTGAGTAAAGCAAAGAGTAATGCTAAGAAGATTTCCAGAAAGTTGAGTCTTGTAAACTCACCATAGAGATATAGTCAAGAACCGAGATAACTCCAAAAATAAAAGTTATATCTACATTTGATTTTATCACTACCTTATATATATATATATATCTCTCTCTTTAACAAAATATCGTAATTTTATTTTATTTTGTTTTTCTTCTCCTCATTCTCGTTACCAAGATAAAGAGAAAAAAAGATAAAAGGGAAAAAAGAAGAAGATACAAAACAAAACCTCTAACCTCATTTATCGATAAAGCTTCCGATAGAGTTGGAGGAAGATATACTCTTTCGTCTTCCACCTCTATCCCTCACTCGCTTTAGAGTCGTTTGCAGAGGATGGAACCCTCTTTTCAATGATAAGAGATTCGTCAATAACAACTTAGCAGTAGCATTCACTAGAACACTATCAGAATTCATGTTACAGACCGGTTCCAAGATTTATTCGACGAGCATCAATCTCAATGACCAAGATCGGTACATTAAAGTGTGCGAGTTAACCTTAGATATCCCCAGTTTAAAATCTAAGAGAAAAATAAACTTGGAAGGCTGCTATGGCTACTCCATGTTATGTGGCATGAATGATATAGCCACGGTTTGGAACCCATGGTTGAGACAAAGTAGATTGATCAAAGTCTAGCGAAAATTCAGGTTATGTGGCATAGGATACGATAGTAGTAGGAGTTATAAGATGGTTGGGTATACTTATGATAGTAAAGTTGCCATCTAAAAAATTATTGGGATATATATGGATCCCTTAGTTTTAGGAATATTTCCTATTTTGTAAATAAAGACTTTGTCCCACATTGGTAGTTAAGAAAAGTTTGTCTGGAGAATGTGATGTATAAATACCTTGTAAATGTCATTCAATAAAATCAAGTTAGTTTGGTATCAGAGCCTATAGTCTAACTCTTCCAAAAAATCATATTTTGCAAGTTTGTTCATTGTTTGAACTAATAGTTTTGTTATTATGTCTGGTAAGAAAGCAGCTGCAGGATCCGGTGAGATCGCAATTGTGGAGATAGTGTCTCCTTCTCAGTATGTGTGGTATGGATCGGATAATCCCGGTTTGATGATCACTCAGGTCATGTTGAATGGAGAAAATTACAATCTTTGGGCCAGCGAGATTCTTAATGCACTTCATACCAAGCGTAAAACTGGTTTCATCGACGAAACATTGAAGAAACCATGATGTGAAAGCTCTGATTACAAAAACTGGATTGCAGCAAACTCCATGATCGTCGGTTGGATAAGGGCATCAATCGAACCAAAGGTGAAAACCACGGTAACTTTTGTTTCCAAAGCATGTCAGCTTTGGAAAAACTTGAAGCAACATTTCTCAGTGGGAAACCAAGTCTGTGTTCATCAGCTCAAATCGCAGCTTGTAGGATGTCTTCAACAGGGACAGTCGTGTTCGACTATTACGGCAAGTTGACCACGCTTTGGGATGAGCTGGTGGTCTATCAACGTTTGCCATTGTGTACTTGTGGAGTGGCGAAGACAATTGTGAAAGAGAGAGACAATGAGAAAGTCCACCAGTTCCGTATAGGCCTTGATGACTCTCGGTATGGGAATCTGTGTACCGCACTCATTGAAGAAGATCCACTACCATCAATTGAAGAAGTCTACTCCAAAGTCGTGAGAGAAGAACAATGTTTGGGTGGCGTTCGCGCTAAGGAACAGCAGCAGGATGTTGTGGGCTTTGTGAATAGGGAAACAACTTTGGGATCAAGCTCTGAGGTTTCCGTCCTGAAATCTCGGATCCTCTGTTCTCATTGTGGTCGTTCAGGGCATGAAAAAAAGGATTGTTGGCAAATCGTGGCGGTTGTGGTGGTCGTGGTGCAGGTTGGGGTAGAGGACAAGTCATAGTTGCTCATGCTACAAGTTCACATGCTTCTCCTTTTCCAGAGTTTACTCTAGAGCAGTGGCAGATGCTTTCTCAAATGATCAAAGAAAAATCAGGCAACGATACCTCTGACAAATTGTCTGGTAAGACTAAATATGGCGATGATATTATTGAGACAGGAGCCTCCCACCACATCACCAGGAATTTATCTATATTAATCGATCTTGTGTCCATTCCACCGTATTGTGTGTGTTTCGCGGATGGAAGTAAAACTTTGCGTGGAGCATGGGAGTGTTTCCTCTTTCAGACAAAGTCTCGCTGACTAATGTTCTTTATGTGCCTTCATTGAATTGTACACTGATTTCTGTCTCTAAGATATTACAGCAAGCAAGTTATTTTGCTATGTTTACTGATACTGTTTGTATCTTGCAAGAA